TTGACCCCATTCCGAGGCGGTCTAAGGAAGTAAAGAAAAATGCGATCCGAGCACTCCTTTCATATACATTCGTGGATAATATAAAAATTTAAACACAAAAAAAATTCAGATAATTTTGAAAAAGGGTTGAAATATAGTGCGGCCCCCTAAATTAGTACGGCCCCCTGAAATAGTACGGTTCTTTGGAAGAGGGTTGAAAAATAGTACGGCCGGCCGAACTATTTTAGGAAATACGGTAACTCCAACGGTATCTAAGTTCGATTGTATTTAGGCAAATATTCACGTTATAATATTTTGAATCATTTATTATTAAATAATTACTGTCGATAACCATATTTTTTAAATCTTCCAATCGTTCAATTCCTTTTTTGTCAAGGCCTTAAATTCGATTAAATTTAGATTATCACAAAACTTGTTTTCTTATAGGAAAATATTATAGCCCCCACAAGTATAAAATTCCATAGCTGTAAATTATATTTTGAATATCCGGAACCTTTATCCTGCCCAAAATTAATTTATTTATGATCTTATCATGATTAAATAATTTTAGACATTTTTGAAGCAAAGAACTCTATATGTGAATGAAATAAATAATTATAAATTCCTAATCAAATATTTCAAAGATTTTTTATGTTTTAAATTATTTTTCTATTAAAAATTATTTTACTTTTTATTTTTTCTTTAATTTCTGGATTAATTAAATTTTCAATAAAAGATTCGTGTTCTTCGCAAATAAATTCTTTAAACTTATTAAAATATTCAACATTATTTTGGGCATCATCTAATTCATCTGAATCATTTAAATAATTAAATAATTTACTCAATTCTGTTTGTAAATCATCAAATAATTTATCCTGCTTTATTTGATCATTTTTACTTAATTGATTATAATCAAATAATTCTTCTATGTTTTTATCATTTAAAATATTCTAAAAATTAAAAAAATAATTTTTTAAAAGTTCAAATCAAAGATTATCTTCCCTTAATCGAATGAAAAACAGCTATTAATTTTTTTTAGAAATTAAATAGCTATTTAATTTTTAAAGCTTGGCAAGATGCTAGTTGTGTAGGATATAAAGAGCGAGATTTACAAAAACCTTGATCCTTAACCTTGATTTCGGCTGGGTACCTTTACCAGATTTGTGACATTGAGTTAAGGAAAAATCAAAGAACGCTGAAAAATGCCTTGATCTGGACTCTGGATCAAGGAAAGATTAAGGTCTGGATCCAGATCCAGCCCGCTCTCTAGTATGATAACAAGCACATGAATTCGGACAACTGAGGATTTGGTCGCATAGCTGCAGGAGAAGTCGCATAATTGCAGGAGAAATGGCAGTAAAAATAGCTAGCCTAGTCCAGCTTTACTATATTGTAATTAATCGAAGAAATATGGTCCAATTAAAAGTGTGATAAATAATAATATTTTCTGAATCTACTGCCTGGATAAAGGTAGGGATCCGGCGCCTAAAGCTTTGATTTATTTAAAAAATTATACTAGATCATCTTCCTTCGCCGTATCTACTTCAATTTGTTTTCCTTTTTTTCTTGTTTCATAAATTTCTTCCATAAAATAAGTTAGCGTTATAAGTATATTTAAATATGTTGGTAAATAATTTTTAATTAATTCTTTTTTGTTTTCTTTTAATTTATCAACATATAAAAGAATTATTGGTCTATAAATTTGCTTCCAAACATCTCGATGATCTTCAGTAAAATATTTATCCAACCAAAGAATATTTAAAATAATTGCTGAAGATACAATTGCACAGTTACGTTCTTCATTATTTTCTGAATCTAGTGCTTGAATGTAATCCTCATAAAGCCATTCAAGTAGCTGGTCTTTATCTACATCTAAAGCTAGATTTAATATAAATAAGTGTAAATATAAAGGGGATTCATCAACCGAACCCTCAACCAAAAACACAAGTCTGGTACTGCACAGCATAAAAATTATCGAACCCAGGGAGATGCTCTATCCAAACGACCTTAATTAGATCATATGACGAGATTTGATGGAAGTACATCAACTGTAGAATATAGTGATGTATCCGTTACAGGTTACACTGGAAGATTAGAACTGTCATTAAACCAGAACAGTAAGCAATCGGAACTATGGAATTGTCAGCTTTTTAAAGGGTATTAATGTTCGAGGTCGAGTAGTAATTAATGTTCGAGGTCGAGTAGTCTCCCAGTTTTTCTTAATTTTCATTTTCATATTTTTATATAATTGGTTTGTCAAAAAAGTACAAACTTTTTGTGTTCAAAAAAACGTCTTAAACTGCTTTAAAAATACATTTTTAATAATTTAATTACCTATTTTTATGAATACCAACATGGGATCATTTGTTGATAAAAGAATTGATCTAATATCATCAAAATTAAATTCTAAAAGTTGAATAATTTGACTCTTTGAACCTCTTTGATTAATTAATTGACGGAATTCAGGAAATTTAAAAAGTAACATGTTTAAATTATTTGTATGTTGCTCAAGCAAATAATTTTTGTTAGGCGCTTTTATTGTTAATAAATACGTTATTGACATTTTTCCTTTTTTATTGCTTAAATTAAAAAATTTTTAGGGAAGAAGTCGAATTCTGAAACATCCTTTCCTTATTATTTAGGCACAATTCGCTTTTGAGGGATGAGTTTTATTAGAGAACGCCTGATTAGTTTAGCCGCCCTGATTAACCGCCCTGATTAGTTCCTAAACCGCCCTGATTAGTTTTAACATTGACGTTGTATCGAGATTGACTGATTCCAGTCTAGGAAAAAATGATCAGTCGTTGCAAGGAAATTTTGAGTTGGCAATCTCTTGAATGACTATTAATACTGTTAACTAAGTTCTGCAGCATTTTATTATAATGCTTCTATTAAACTTTTTGATAATTATGAAACTGGCTTAGATGTTAACTCTTTTAAAAATAAGATTTATATTTCTAGCAACATAGGAATCTTTATAAATAAAACCTTTTCCAAAGAAAATAAAAAAATCAAAAATATTAACTTATTCTTTTGTGCCTCAAAACGCTCCAACCAATATTTTTGCAATAAATCAACTTTATTTCTATCGGGACTAATCGTTCTAATATTCTTATCCCAAAATGAAGACAATTCTGACAGATTATCTTTTTCCAAGTTCCATAAACTTTCAAAAACATAACTGGTTTCTATTTGAATAAGTACTTTTTCTTTATCTTTTGCCTCTATTTGATTTGAAATTAGTAGTTTATATAATTGTAATTTATAGGAGGATTCGATTATGTCTGTGTAAATTTATAAAGATTAATCCTTAACTTAATAAGTTGAGTTTTCTGAGTTACCTACATTTTTTCTTATTTATCTACATTATTTACCTAGCTTATTTACCTAAATTTTAAGGCTATTCTTCTCTTGACCAATTTTACTTATGTATAGTAAAGGATATAATTAAAATAAGGCTTTCCAAAATGTATGTAAACATATCAGGGCTCATATGTGCGGATTTTTCCAAATTTTATGAATTTTTGATATGTAGTTAGATGAGGATCATTTTTAAAAATGAGGATTCACGGATTTTTGTGGTCTTTTGAAAATTATGAGGATTTTTTATATTTTCTTATAATTTTTAGATTAAATGCCATTTTATTCTTTCAAGACCTTCCAAAATTCGCAAAATTTTGGCCTGCTTTATAAAAATATTTTTTAACTTGCCAATTCTGAAAACAATTGGTTTTTGCATTTCCAACCATGGAAACATTAAACGGCCTAATATTTCTCTCAATTTAATTTTCATATTTTGAATTTTATTTTTACTTTCAAAAGAATCCTTCAAACATAATGAATATAATTTTGAAGCTAATTCACTTTTTTCTTCATTTTTATTTCCCAAACTTTCAAATTTCGAAGGTATTAAATTGTTGATTGCTTGGAGATGAAACCGTTCAATCAAATCAATTACTACTGATGATAATTCTGAATCACCGGCCATGTTTTTCTGTATGGATTCTGAATTAAAGTTGTGATTATTAGGAGTGATTCTAATAGTGTACACATAGTAAAGCAGCTGGGCTATAGCTATTTCTCTCCTTTAGCTAGAGCAAAAGGTTATTCGGCGGCTGGGAGCGAACCAGCATCATCAGTAGACCGGACTGATGTGTTAGCCATTACACCACGCCGCCTACTGCTCAGCCTTAGGAAATTAATAGCTATATGCTTTACAACATTTTTCTTTTACAATTTGAGCAAATTGTGAAGTAATTGAATTGATGTATTAGCTAACTTGCGATTTTGATAAACAAGCAAAGGTGTGTTTGAACAGCGGGAAGTATCCAAAGACAGAAAAAGCTAAACTTGAAAATAGTCTAAAGACTAGAATAACGACCAACTTGTGCATAGGAAAACTATTTCATATGAAAAAGCAATTTATAAAAATTGAGCTTATTTAATCGGATATTTAACTAATAAAAATTTGGAAATAAGCGCTGGTAATCTTTAAGCACGCCTCAGTAAATTCTTATCTTAGGAGATTCTTAGGCACGCAGACATATCGGGACGTACATATCGGGATATTTCAATGTTCGAACAGTTATCCTACTGATTTTGGGACCTATGGCCACTGGGTCTTGGATAGTATATTGTCCTTTGAGGAATAGTTTTTATGTTTTAGAACAAACGTAAACACGCAAAAGATTATTTTTGTCACACCAATCCCGATATGTTCGTCCCGATATGTCCGCACACCGATTCTTATACAACACACAAAAATCAGCTGAGAGATATTCGACTGTAATAAAAATACATACCGTATTTTCTCGAGTAAGTCCCTTACCTCGAATAATTCCCCCTCTTGATTAATCCCTCATGCTAGAGTTGGGTTGGAACAATAATTCCCCACCCCCAAATACCCTACTGCACGTTCAAATGCCAAAACTCGAATAATTTCCCTCCCTCGATTAATTCCTCATGCCAAGGAAGTATTGAAAAAATAATTCCACAAGGGAATTAATCGAAAAAATACATAACTAACCATATTTATTTACAATTTCCTCCATTGTATCGAAATCAAACTTATCATCAATAATAGATTTTAGCATAAAATAAAATTCTGCAAAAATATTTATTGAAGCTATTCCATAAGTATTTAATTGTAAATTACTGTCGAGTTTACCCGCAGCAATATTAAAAGTTTCAAGCATTTGTTCAATTACCTCAATTTTATGTTCGATCATTTCTACTTGCATAATTTCTTTTTGTTTCACTTTATTTTTTAATTTTTTCAAAGATTTTGATTTATAAAATTCTTTTAAAGAATTTTTTTCTTTTTCCAATATTTTTTCGACAGATTTTTTTTTCTCAAAAATTTTTTGTCCAAGCAATGTAATTGTGATTCTCATATGTAAATCGTCAACTTCTTCATCAGAAAGATCATCAAAAAGTAATTGAACGTAGCCTTTATCAAGAGTTTGATCGTCTTTTAGTACTTTAAATTGGTTAGATTAGTACGATCAACCCTCAATTAATTTACCTAACCAAACAATTAGATACCGTATTTACTCGATTAATTCCCCTGGGGAATTATTTTTTCAACCCAACCGTGGAATGGGGAATTATTCAAGGGAGGGGAATTATTCGAGTTTTGAAATTTGATCGTGAGTAGGGTATTTGGGGGAGGGGGATTATTGTTTCAACTCATCCGTAGCAGGGGGAACTATTCGAGGGAGGGGAATTAATCGAGTATTTCGGTATGATAGAGACCTGACTGGGATGTTTGGACGAAAATCTAGATTGATGATTTTTGTCCAAGATATAAACTCTGTCCGATATCTAGTAGATATTTCTCAAATTAAGAAACGGTTTTTAAAATTTTGGTCACAGGGCCAGAGGAATTGACTAAATTATAACATGGTATTTTATATTAAGGTCTAGCAGTTACTTTTAAAAATAAACAAAAAATATTCATAAAATGTAATAATTATTTTTGTATTAAAAACTTACAATTTATCGGAAGTTCCCGACTTAAAACATTTTTTAATAAAATTAAAAAATATATTAATTTAATTAAAATCATTTTATTTTTTAAATATTCTAAAAAATTATTTAAAAAATTAATATAGGGGAGTTAATACAATTTTTTTAAAAAATGTATCGTGAACAATCAACTAAAATAAATTTATCAAAAAGATAAAAATAAAAGGGCAATATTTTTGAAAATAATCAAAGATAATTTAAAAAATGTGCTGGAAATAAAAATTAATTTAAAAATAATATTAAAGCAACAAGAGTAACCGACACGAGCCCAGAACCAACCCTGACACTCAGGTATTTTTAAAAATAAAAGTTGGCTTTTCAATTTTCTGATGTTCCACTGAAACCATATCCGAATTGATTAAAAAAAAGAAACCGGATAAAGCCCTGTCAAAGTTATAATTTTCAAAATCTAGAAAAAATAGATAAAATAAACAGGTAAAATAAAATAGATAAAATAAAATAGATAAAATAAATTACTCAATCTATTAGAACCGCTGAAACCATATCCGAGTCGATTTAAAAAAAGAAGTAAAAAATAAAATAAAGTCCTGTTATGTTATAATTTTAAAAGTCTAGAAAAATTGTTAAGATAATTAATAGAGTTATTATAAAGATTTTTTCTGATTTTAGACTCCAAAAATAAAAATTATACAAGATTTTTAAATAGAATTATAAATAACTACTCAATCTACTTATATTAATAAACTAAAACAAAATTTGTCAAAATTAGGGTAAAATGTATGTCCAACTTTCCTAAAATAGGCATTCCTTCAAACTAATTTTAAGTCAAAATTTGATAAAGTTTTTATTTCAACATATCCCTAATAATTCTTAGCTAAATTATAATTTAATTCTTAGGATTTTTAAAAATAATTAGCTACATAAATGAAAAATCTTAAAAGTTAAAGCCGTCGGAAAGGCAAAATAAAAATTTCAAAATTACTTATAAAATGCCCTTTAAAAATTTTTTTTTCTTTGTCGGTGTCTTACAAAATATGTAGATTATTACATAATTCTATATTTATTTACGCAATTTTTTATTTTTAATATTTTTCATGTGATAAGCACTTTATTAAAAAGAAGGTAAAAGTGCATTAAAAAATTTTTTTAATTTTATTATTTCTAATTTAAAAAAGAATTGGAAATTTATTTTGATAAAATAATTTGTGTATAATTAAATTAATTTCACAGAAATACTTTAATATATTTTGAGCAGAATTGTTGTGTATTGGGGTTACTATCAACGCTTGAGCTATCAAATTTTGAAATCAAAACTTCGAAAATCAAAATTTTGATTTTCGAAATTTGAATAGTTTTTGTTTTGAAATAGATCTGGTTAACCAGCTTATGATAGTATAAAAGTTAGTTTCAGCATTAGTCTAAATAAGGAATCGAAATTTTTATCGTAATCGTAAATCGTAATTTAAAAAAATTTCATAATCGAAATAGTAATTACGATGCAACTGACTAAATAATAAATAAAAATCACCCCTATTATTTCAGGAAGATACGAGAAAAACGAAAATTTAGGGAGAGCCTATATAACTGTAGAGGAACTGCTAGTCCCTTATCTCGTTCATACCCCCAATTGCACCTCGTATACTTTGTTAATTCCTCTTGGAAAATCTCGGGCAAATCCCGGACATAAACAATTATTAAAAAATTTTATCTAATTAAAAAAATTATAATTTAATTAATGTTCATGTTCTTCATTAGTTGAGTGTGTAATTCCGTGTGAATGTGAATGCCTTAAATTTATATAAAAAATAATAATTATATGATTGCAGACTGACATTTGCGGACATAACTAAAGCCTAATATCTTTAGGGAAAGGGCCAAAGTTTTTGCGGACATCCGCAATTTTTTTGCGGACATCTGAAAAGTTTTTGCGGATGTCTGCAAATAGTGTCCGCAAATTAATAAAATATTTACGTTGTTAATTCATATATCTGTATTATATTTATAACAAGAAATCCAATAAATATAGCAGCTAATTGCAACAAATTTGAATGATCATTTGCACGTTCCTGAGCTAATACTTCAAGAAATGTTACATAAATAAAGGTTCCTGCGGCCAAAGATTCTAAACCAATAATTATTCCTTCCTTTGGTAATTCATTTATTTCAAGATTCTAAAAAATAAATTTAAAAAAAAGTTTAAAAAAAAATTTGTACTGCACGAGAGAGTTCGTTACAGAGTTAAAAATGCCTAAAACCGAAGATTCATCATAATCCAAGATCGTATCAACGATGATTCAAGGCAAAAATTTCTGTTCCTAAAGCAAAAATTTTCTCACTCGACTAAGAATACATAGTCATGTACATATGTATACTAAAAGTGCTAATGCCTGCTAGTTTAAATAAAAAACAAAAAATTACAGGAATGAACTCTCAGAATTAATCTTTTAAACTTTTAGTAACGTATAGTAAATGTGTGTCGACCCGATCCCAGAATTCTAGAAGATGTCTAGATCGAGAATTCTCGAAGAATCTCGATTATGAAAGCGTAAATGAAGTTTGAATTGACACCAGGAGCGGGCCCAGACCATTTATGCGATTGTCTCTTGCGCTCGACATAAACGACTCTTTTAGTAGATCTCGCTTCCTATGAATATCCCTACCTAATTAACAATAAATAAATCTCTTACAGTAATAAAATCACCAATAATTGACCCGATCGGAGTCATTAGAGCATAAGCAAGTATTAAAGACCCAACAATAATTAAAGAATTATTTCCAGATTTATTTATTTGTAATCCAACACTAAAAGCCTCAATACTTTTGTGAATAATTAAAGAAATAAATAAAGTTAATATTCCAGCAGAATTATCCTTTTTTAATTAAAATTTCTAAAAATTTTTTAGAATAAAAATACTTGTACTCCTAGAGCAAACCCTTCAAGTACAGAATGAAAAGATATTGCAAAAGCAAATGTTAGTGATTTAAGTAAATCTGTTGTTTTTGATTCTTCATTTAAATATTTGTCTATTACTACTCTAATTTGAATGAAAAAACGTTAAAATTAATCTTTTCAATTGATAATTAATTTTTATTTGCTATAGAACCTATTTCTTATATAATATAACCTCAATATTAAATCAGGCAAGTTTTAAGTTCTTATCAAAATTCTGGCCTTTTGGTATGCGTTTTCGAAATTGAATAAAACCCCGGGGGTGGGGTGTCGATTCTTTAAAAATTTTCGGATATCCGGAAACTAACATAAGCAATACTCAGTTCGTCTGTTCGGTTCTGAACCGACAAACATAATTATACCCATATATTGTAAGTAGTGTTGGGCACGAGACGATATATCGACGATATTTTTCGAGATATCGCGAGATTTTTTTCGAGATTATCGATCTCGATCTCGAAAAATCGCAAATGCCTAACACTAATTGTAAGTAAGAAATATATGCTCTAGCTTTTGACTAAAGACATTTTTTAGGGGTTCAGTCTTGTTCCTTAGTTTTGAAAGTACTCGCAGTTCTCTAGTAGATTCATGGTGCTATATTAACGAGAATCAACTACCAAAAATCTTCCAAAAAATTTTCTGTAAAGGGTAACAAAGGGTATTATTCCTATGGCAAATTCTTTACTTAAATATTTACTCGTGTGTAAGCATATCAAGACAAGAAGAGCAATGTTTTAAAGTTTGTGTTACTTGTTGAATATCAATTTCATTATTATTTTTAATTGAATTCATAACACAATCAGGTTTAGAGCAAATAGAAAGAGAAGAATCCTTCCCGTCAATATTGCCTAAATGTCGAGAAATTGTTCGGCATCTTTTACGTTTTTCTCTTTAAAAATTTATTTTAACTTTTTAAAAGATTAAAAAAAATATTTTTTACGTTTGTGGTGCAAAAACTTTAAGAATAAGCTCTTCCAATAAATAAACTAGGAAAAATCCTAAACAAATAATAAATTCGGGTAAAGGAAATTCTGTAGTCCAATTTGCTTCTTTTCGAAAATGGGCATAATGTTCACTATAAAATTAATCAAAAAAAAATTTTAATTTTAAATTAATCTTCAATTTATAAAATATGTAATTATATTCATAAGGTCGGGAATCTGTGAGAGTCCTCCACAAACCACGAGCCTATGAAACATAGAGATAAAGGTCTAATAAAGCATTTGTGAAACTTTACAGCTCTTTTTCTTACAATTTATTATTTTCAAATTTTTAAAAATTATCGGTTTTCAATGTCAATAATTTATGATTTTCGGCGTTCTATTTAGGTGTCAGGACTTAAAAATTAATTTCTTATTGGACAACTGTAAGAGTCGTGGGCATAATGTTGATAACTCTCACAATTTTGCATTAATTTCAAAAACTGCTAAAATTTTTGTTCGATTTTAAATGAAACGTTATTTTCTCCTTCCATTCTAAACATCTTTAAATCTCATATATAAAAAAATAAAAATTAAAACAAACTTAATATGTGGGAATATATCTAGAAAACAAGTCCCCATAAATACACCTCCTGCAAAACAAGAAAGTAAAGTTAATATCCACTCTGTTCTTCTGTTCTGAACTTCTGCCAATCTGTTTAGTTTGCGCCTCAACTTTAAAATTTTTTATAAAAAATTGATCTCAAATCTTAGGCGTCCAAGACTATTGGTTTCATGCGTTAACATGAATTTTTATTAGGTTTTTTGCCCTAGGTACTGGAGCAAATTCTTAAGAAATTTTCGGCGTAATGGATAACTCTATCATATCTTTATTGTAATTCTCAGGTTTTTGTCATCTTAGTTTTAATCTCTATTTAATAAATAATTATTATTAACCATTATAGCAGCAATTCCTGCAAGAGAAGTAACCGAAAACATTATTGCAGAGAGAATAAATTTGAGTAAAAATGTTTTCATTTTTCCGATCTACTCAATTAAAATATAAAATAAAGAAGAAAATTTTATTTAATAAATACTATTAATAAAATTTTTTAATTCTGAAGAAATTTTTAAATTTAAAATTTTAATTTATAGAGTATATTAAAAATAAAAAATTTCAAGTTTCATTTCCGCCAGAATTTGATAAATAAAAAATTTATTTCTATTTTTTTGAATTTAAAAAAATAATAAAAAAATATTAAATTGATTGGCCAAATAAAATTTTAATTTTTAAACTTTTATTTTCTCTTAAGGAAATAAACATTTAACAGAATTTGTTAAATAAAATGGAAAAAAAGAAAAATAAGAGAAAATGATTAGTAATTAGTTAAAATAAAATGTCAAGATTTTATTTAAAAATTTGAAAAATACATAGAACATTTCCGAATAAAATTGAAATTAATCTAAAACAGGGAAAATAGGTGTTATTTTGATAGAAAATATTTGTAAAAAAATTTGGAAGAATATGGGAGAAAAAAATAATAAAAAAATAGAGGTATTGTTTAGGAAACAGAGGTCGACGGAAATGACAAAGGTGCTGGGAATCGGATGAAAAGGATATCAGTGATTTTTAGGATTAGGATCGATATTTAAGGATTAAGAGAGATGTCGAGGTATGTCTTTCGACCCATAAGTATATACATATTTCATTGCAGGATCCATGGAGCGATATAGAGAGAGATCCATTCAGGGATAACAAAAGTCTTTCCTAAAATCGGAAATCGAAAAATATATTTGAAAATCCTCTAAATCGAAAATCAAACGAAAAAAAAACCCTCGGAAATCGAAAATTCCGAAATAGCCCTCACAATCTGCGCAGGTTCTATCTCTTCATAAATTTGTAAATATAACGTTATTTATAAATATTATAACATTTTTTACACAATTTATCAATAAATTAATTTACTAAATTGTGTCTTTGATAAATATAAAATATAATTTTGTCAGTAAAATTAGGTATATTTAATTAATTAATTGCGCATTGAAAGATGAAAGAATTTAAGGTTCAAGGCCATGTGAGGTTTAATAAGATAAAAAAGAGAGTTTAGTAATCTTTGAACGTTACTTAATTATTTTATAAACCTGATAAATTAAATTATAATTCTAAAAATAAAATTTTGCTGTTAATTTTAACAAAGAAAATATGTCGGAAGTAGATACCTTAAAAATTTTTTTTTGGTTCAGTTAAATCAAATTTTTTATATCTCGAATTAATATACATCAGACCTTGTCACGGATACTGATCTTAGTATCCTTATCCTGATATTTACGGCGGATACAGGCTGATATCCTCAGGCATTTTGATATTATCTGTATCCATATCCGTATTCAAGACAAGGTCTGATATACATATGTAGGTAGCAGGGATCGCACCGACAAAATTCCTGATTTCCGAAAATCGGGAATTCTCGACATTTTTAGGGCAGTGAATTCACTAAATCGGGAATTTTGTTTTTATGTCGGTGCGATCCCTGGTATGTACATAGGTATAGTGTTTTTTTTGTAAAATTTAATATATTAAACAGGTTACACAATTAAATTTAAAACAAATTCAACGTGAACATGCGCAAATGATTAAATTAAAAAAGTAAAATCAGTTGACTATTTTATTTGGCTATTAAATTTTTAATTAGTAATAAAATAGGAATCCCTTATATTATTGCAGAATTAAAATTATATTTTCTGAGCAATCACGTTTTGTTTAAATTTTATTTTTAATTATAATTAATGATATTGTAGTGATCTTAAGATTTTATCAATTAAACAATTTTATATTAAAATTAAATTAAGAATGATCTTAAAGTTAATAAAAAATGAGTATACCTATTTAATTATAGACTACACAAAAAAGGAGTCTTTGGAAATTATGAAACAGTCTAGAATTTCAATAACTGAACATATACTTTTTATTTAAAAATTAAAAAATAATTTTTTAAACTATAAATCCTGTCAAAATTAATATCCTGGTGCCAATCTCGCCGGAGGGCAATGGTCACATGAACCTGGGGCTCCAGGTGCTCCGGGACGTCCATTTGAACCAATCTATAAAAAACAATTGAAATTAGTCTCGAAATAAAAAAAACCTTTCCACTTGAACCAGGCACTCCTGGTGAACCTGGAGGTCCGGGTGGGCCCTAAAATGAAATTTAATAATTATTTTAAATAATTTTGAAGAATAAATAAATTAAAATACAGACGGGTTTTCCAGGTAATCCATCATTTCCTGGTTTGCCTGGGGCGCCTGAAATTAATTAAAATCTTTAAAAAAGTTCGTAAAAGAATTGAATAAAACCTGGAGGTCCAGGAGGACCAGGCCGACCATTGGCACCGGGACGGCCAGGAGGTCCTTTGAGATATTAAAATTAAATTATATACTAATGTAAAATTAATTACCAATCTCTGTTCTATATTGCCCAGGCTCTCCTGGTGGACCAGGCCTTCCTGGCTGGCCAGGTTGTCCCGCAAGTCCAGGCGGGCCTCGCGGTCCTTGATCACCCGGTTTTCCATCTTCGCCTGGCTCTCCCTTTTAAATTCGTTTAAATTCAAATAAAACATATAAATAAACCGGCGGTCCTGCCGGTCCATCAGCTCCAGGCGGTCCTTTTGGCCCGGGCTCTCCTGGTGGAGCCTAAAATAAAAGTAAAACTTTTTAAACCTCTCATAGAATAATTAACCTCGCAAGGACATTGTGGAGGAAAGAGCTGGGACTGATCAGGCCCAGGTGGCGCCGGAGGACCTGGAGGGCCGATCTGTCCGGGTTCTCCATCTAATCCTCTTAGACCATCTCTACCTGGAGGGCCAGGCCTTCCAGGTGGTCCACGTTGACAAGTGCCTAAAAAGTGGAAAAAAATTTTAGAGAATATCAATTACAGCATCCAGTTGAAGGTGTTTCAACAAATTCGTCCTTAGGCGATCCACGATTATAATCATTTTGAGCATAAGTTTGAGGGTGATCTCTTGCCATTGAAAGAGGCTAGAAAGATTTTATTTTATAAAAATTAAAATTCCAATTTCTTTACTTTATGCCTTGGTTTTTCTTCTGCTGGTTGTTCTTCGTACCCTTCTTCCACTTTTTTAAAGCCTTCAACCGTTGTTGACTGAACATTATTATTATTTGTTGTTGTCTTTATTTGACTTTCATTTCCTCCATTTACCGCCCTTCTAACATTACTAGAACCAACACCAATCGTTCCAGAAGAATCTACAGGATCGTCTCTAAATTGCATATCATGCAAACGACGAGCCCAAAACTCGGCAATAGTATCTCGTTTTTCAATTTGTCGTCGATGCATTACAAGATTAGCAAGTCGAGAAGCAGCTTCTGAACGTCCATTAGTTTTTATCTCAAACATTTCTCTCCACATATCTCTTGCTCTCGACTTGCAAAAATCCAAATCTAGCTGAACTCCGGCTTCTAATGTTTGTATATAATGGAGAATGAGGGGGAACATTATTAAACAACTGCTAATTGCTACCTGGTTATAATGGGAACAAATTAGCTTATTTAAGTATATAAAATTAGGTATTAGTGTTATAAATTATTTTTTTTATTTTTATTAGAGTTATATTCCTTATAATAAGGAATATAACTCAAAATATAGGAATATAACTTATAGGAATATAAAATATAGGAATATAACTTAATAAGGAATATAACTTATATTTAAAGTTTTTACCAACAAAAACAAATTATTTCGAGAAATAAAATATTTTGAAATTAGATACTAACTTAAAAAATATATTCGGAATGAAAAATTGGTAATAAGATTATGGCCAGCGATAATCTATTCCGAATTTAAATTTTGGAAAATGTTTTGAAAAATTTAGTAAAAACGAATGTTTATTAAATTTTAATATTTTCTTACTTAAAAAATAATCTATTACAATCTATTGAAATTTAAATTCTAATTAACTAACAGTTGCGCAGCATGTAGCTATTAATGCAACAGGTCTTAAACTCTGCCGTTCTTCTTTTAATGGATTCTTATCTTCCGAAACCATATTTTCTCTAAATTAAAAACAAATTTACGATATTAAAAAGTATTTTAAAACGATATTTAATTTTTCTGGATATGAATTAGAATGTCGTAGAAATATTTGAAATTATAATTTAAACCTAAATATGTTTTTTATTTAAAAATTAAGGGGTACTTATAATTTTCTGAGAGTATTTTACTTAGAATAAAGTTTTGTTCTAAGCTAAATTTTAATATGTATTAACTTTGAAAGACTTTTTCGACTTTCTCCCAAGTTTACTGAAATAGGAAAAATAAAGAAAACCCTAGTTTTTGGGCCATATTACAGTTCTATAATACTTTTTGGTAATAAATAATAAATAAATTGAAGGCTAAAAATAATAAAGAATAAAATCAAAACAATAAATAAAACAGGAATTATTTTATGGAAGCAAATAAATTGTACTTTTTTGTAAAAAATAAATCTATCCTCCACGGAATATCCTTTTCTTTTTTTTTGGTTCTTCACATATAAAATTAAAGGAAAAAGCAATTAAATAGGGATTGCTGAATTGTGGTTATATATATGTATGTATAAAGCATTTCTGAGGATGTAATTATGTATTTTTGCAGTCAAAAAGCGTTCTAGCATTTTGTACATCCAAAAATAAAGAATTGAATAAAATAATAATTTTGAATAAATTATTTTATTTCCATCTAGAAAGTGTTTAAAATAAGAGAACAAGATCTAAAATCCTTAGATCAGACTGGGAGGTCGGACGAAACCTGAAGAACTCAAAAAATGATTCTACGAGATCGAGATCTTGAAAAACATAGATCTCGACAACCGAAAATTCTATTCGGGAGCTCGTCTAGGTCTGATTCCAATCTCTACTTACAATTACCAAGTTAGCCTAAGCTTACAGCTGTTAGAAAATAATAAGTTTCAGAATCGAAGAGACTACTCTGAAACCCTCTCGAAGGATTTAAGGCTTGAAATTGACATTATAAGTATTTAATAATATTTTAATTAAAATCAATTAAAATTTATCATGCGTCAAGCATGATTGTTTAAATTTAATGTAACATGTAAATTTATTAAAATTTTTAATGAAATAGTAGACGAGAAAGATAGAGAAAGAGATTAAAGAAGGAGAAAGAGGAAAGAGGTTGTGGGAGGAAGAGTCAGAATCTGAAGAGTCAAAAGCTAGGATCGGATGATTTAAAAATTTAAACAACCCAAAAACACGTAAATTCTAGAGAAAGTTTGACCCAACTCCGCGGTTGTATTCAAGTAGAGTACATTTTTTTAAAGGATGAAAATAGTATTTACTTCCTTTAATATTTTTTAACAAATTTTCACGTAATTTTTTGACTGCTTGGACAGCGCTTTTTGAAAATTGATAAGAAATGAAATCTCTTGGAAAAAAAGTTAATAATGGAATCGGGCTTATACATCATAAAAGAGAATTAACTAGCTACAAAATGTGTATAAAATATTTAACGATGTACATATTTGAAAAACAATTTGAAATCAAATCTGCCAAATTATTTTCTGGTCACCCTTTAAGATAAGAACAGTTTAAGAATAGAAAAAAAGTCAATTTCGAGAAATACTTAATTTTAATTGTTATTCTACAGGGTGCGCCATAAGTAACCGGACACTTTTAAATTCCATATAACTTTTTTTGTTGTCAATATTTTGAATTGATTTTAGGCTTATTTTTTAGCTCATTCAATTCTCTATTATGGCTAGTCAACGTGATTCTATAATCTCACTTTTTTTACAAAAAAAATTCAGTCCGCAAAATTTCATCTCTTTTGAATGCCCCATATAGCACTGTGTCTGTGTAACAAAATAATAAACGAATTCTAAATTTTTATATCATTTTATCAACATCTTTTCGAAGGTAACAAGGAATTTTTTGTTCCAATAATTTTTGAAGAAAGAATTTTCGGGAAATTTTCAGTAAAGTTTTTTCATTCTTAAACACTCACAATTAACACCCTCAACATGGCAACATGCCTTCAACAATCAATTCGCGCTATCACAATCAATTAACGCTATCATTACGCTATTGCGTCTATCAAAAAGAAGTGCCTTATTTTTAATCGACAACATCTGACTTGACTATCAACGTCGTATTTTTTGTCAATTGAAAGAGCGAGCGAGCGTCAACGAGAGACTCTCTTTATTTATTAACAGCCCTCATTACCTCTCCATTTATTTAAATTTTTTTATTAAAAATTAATTTTCTTTATTTAAATAAAATATAAAATATTCTCTTAAAATTTCCAAATAATTAAAACTAAATTAAAAAGTTATTCGCTAAATATTGAGGGAAAGGAAATATTAAAATAATATAATGTTTAAGCGACAAAATTCTATATTTAGTATGAGTTATCTTTAGTGTAAATGCGTTATGTTTTTTGTGTAAAACGCTGATCGTTTGCAGTAATTAATGTTATTAAGTCATATCATTGACACTATATTATCCAACTTTTTCCCACATTAAGTGAAGAATAAGAAAAACTTCCAATTTCAAAAATTTTTAAATCGAAACTTTGTCATAAACAGTAATTCTCTCATATAAGTTTTTAAAAGTACAAGTAAAGGGAAACTTTTATGTTATTGAGGTAAACAGTTAATTAAAAAATAAATTTAATTAAAAATAAAATGAAAAATATACAACATATTAGTGACAGCTGAATCCGAAAATCAACGCAAAACCGGGGTTAGGCGTCTTTAAAAAATATTTTCGAAACCTTGTGGGCCGTATTAAAAAAGAATTTAGTGTTTGGCTTTTGATTATCAAGGGGGTATTTAAAAACAAAATCTGCTGTATATACATATATATGAATTTTTTAATATAAAAAAAAAAGTAAAAGTGCAAATTTAAATAAATAAAAAAATCAAAAATTATTCTCAATTTTTATTTATTTCTCAATTTATTTTTCCTTACAATTTTATTACATATTTTTAAAATTAGTATACATATATCCTTCTTCTTTAACTTATTAGATTTAGAAAATTCTTTTTAATTAAGAAATAGAGTCTGTCTGGTAAATATTTCCCCACATTCTCCGAGGCCGCGTTAATAAGAGGGTAGAAACTCAGAATATCCAAAAATATACCCTGTGTATATCACTCGATTCCTCACGTAAAATATTAAAAAAACTCCTTAAGTTATAGACTCTTAAGATTTAAAAACCATTGGGGCCAAACATATTTGGAGGGGGGGGTCTTCTAGGCATTTAGCTCTTCTTTAAAATATTCATAAACTTTAAAACCGTATACAGCTTTTGAAACGCCTACACTTTTTTTGGACGCATGCCCTTTTTTTGGGACGCATACACTGTATGGGACGCCTACACTTTTTTGGGACGCATGTCCTAGCATACACTTTTTTGGGACGCATACACTGTATGGGACGCATGCACATTTTTGGGATGCATGTCTAAACTATAGACGAATTAAGAAGGCGGTATATATAAAAATCATTTTAAAAATAAATATTTAAATTCAAGGCTAATACATATGTATTTTCCTTTAATAATTTTTATTTTTCCGTTAAATTTTAATAAATTAAAATAATTAATTATTAAATTACTTTACATAATATGTATAAAAAAGTGTTTAATATATATTTCCAGTATATTAAGATAATTTATTTATGATTTTAAACAAATTAATCATTATTATTTTGATTTTGAAATTAACAAAAATTGAAGGAAATCCAGAAAATTTATTAATAGGTAAAATTGATATTAACATCACTATTTGAGAATACGCAAGGGTTAGGGGGATAATCTCCAGGAATAGACCGCTCTGGTCACTTATTCTATAAAAAGTTATAACCAGATAACTAAATTATTCTGCCTGAAACAAAGCTTATCATTTGTAACTTCCGTAAAATGCTCAAATCGGCAAATTATGAAAAGATCCTTATCGAGACGTTCAAAAGGTTCAAATTTATACCGTATTTTCTCTATTAGAATGCCATGGCATTATATTTTTGAATTACCTTCCAAAGTGGCATCTATTAGAGAAAATACGGAAAACATTCCTAAAACACTTCCTGTATTATAAAGCAACTATCCCGAAACCGGCTTCTGCCTGCGCGAACAAAACAACTCGATACTTTATATTTTCATAATATTTTTTTTTAATTTAAAGATTACAAAACAAAAGAAATTGAAGATTTTTATATAAAATTATTTTCTGGAGATGAACTTTCTGAAAATGACAAAAATAAATTTAATATTTATTTATTTGACGAGAATATTCAAAATATTTTGAAATTAATTAGTGACGAAGCAAAAAAGGAAGCTGATAAGAAAAATAAAAATAAAACAAAGAAAAAAGGGAAAAAGGGAGAAACATCAAAAACCGAAAATTCAGAAAAAGAAGCTAATTTAAAAGAAAGTAAAGAAAAATATAGCGAATTTAAACAATTTAAAAATTCTATAGAGAAGGAAACGATTGAAAATAATCTAAATTTAATTTTAAAAAAATTTGGAGAATTTTATTTAATATTTTTAAATTTAAAAAATAAAATTTTGGGAGAAGAAAAAAATGAAATAATTGAAGAAAATGAGGTTGAATTGAATGAAGAAATAAAAATTAAAAAAGAAAATCAAATTTTACATAAAAATTTAATTAAAAAATTATTAAATATTAAAGATAAAAATAAAGGAGAATTAATTAGTTATTTTGAAAAGTCCAGCAATAAAAAAGAGGAATTTATTGAGATTAAAAAAAGAATAAGAGGATTAATCGGAAAATTAATGTTTATGGGATTGGAATTGTATTTTCCTAAATTGTTGAGAATTGGTAAAAAATAAATTTTTTGTTTAGATTTTTACCAGGATATTTTGAAATAAACGAATTCTGATATAAAAAGTTTTAATATCAAAGTTGACGTTTTTAGTGACATTGTCCGAACTACTTGAGACATCGAAACCAAAAATCTTCTAAGACAATAGAATAGAGCTAACGGATCCAGTGAAATCAATCCGAATCCAACACCGGAACAGTACTTTGTTCAAATTGGATATTAAATACACCAGACCCAGACTTATGATGAGAATTTAACACAAAGAGCATGCCTTATAACCCCGTGGAAAGTCTTATTCCCCCACCAAAATCCCCACACGTTAGTTCTTAAGTTTTTAACAACTAGCTGGTATTTACCTATATTGTTTTTTTTCTTTTCAGATTTGTTAGAAGAACAAGAACGTCTACATCTTTATATGGAAATGTTTTCACACCCAATAGGTCATAAATTAGGTATTACTCCAGGTGTTCAACTTCGTATTTCAACATTGATGACCGATCTTTTGAAAACCCATCCAAATTTATATGGAATGAAAATATTTAAAACAGGGTGGGAAAAGAAAGTTTTGAAAGGTGAAATGAATAATCAGAGTCTGATACTTGATAAAATTGTGGAATTATATTTGGAAATTAATAACGACAAAGGGGAAATGTTAAATAAATTTATTAATGATGCTGAAGATGAATTAATTGAAATTTATTTGAATAAAAAAGAATTTAGAGAATTTTTGTTAAAAACTAGAGGAGCACGAGGGAGAATTGTTAAATACCGTATTTCCTAAAATAATACTCCCCCCTGAATTAGTACTCCCCCCTTAAATAATACTCCCCTTCGGAGGAGGGTTGAAAAATAGTACTCCCCCCTTAAATAGTACTCCCCTAAAATAGTACTCCCCCCTAAAATATTTTTTTCCTATATTTAAAAAAAATATAGTAGACTCTCTAATTCTAACATTTAGAATTTTAAAATAAATTTTCCTATAATAAATCATGGAGGAGGGTTGAAAAATAGTACTCCCCCCTCAATTAGTACTCCCCCCTTAAATAGTACTCCCCTTTGGAGGAGGGTTGAAAAATAGTACTCCCGGGAGTACTATTTTAGGAAATACGGTATTTAGATATTCAAGAAGAAATTAGGCACAGCTTATTTGCTGGAGTTTATCCTAAAATTGGTCAGATTATATGCAATAGTAAGTTTTACTTTCTCTATCATTCTAACTAAATCACAAAAAAGTTAGAATATTTTATTAAAAATATTTAACCAAAATAAATTTTTTTTGATTTTTAAAATAGTTTTTTCACTTGTAATTGTAAAGCATATAGCTATTAATTTCCTAAGGCTGTGCAGTAGGCGGCGTGGTGCCGCCGAATAACCTTTTGCACTAGCTAAAGGAGAGAAATAGCTATAGCCCAGCTGCTTTACTTAATAAACTTGCAAAAATAAGGTTAATAAAAAACTGGCAGCAATAAAAGGATTTAACAGGACTACATAGAAAAAATGTAAAAATCGAATACGAAGTTATTCGATCGAATCTTCGATTCATACATCTCTAATCAGTTATTAAAATATAATTTATTAAAAAAATTTATTTTCAAAGAAATGTCTAGAGATGAATTTATAAGTTCAATAATAATTTACTACAAAGAATATTTAAATAATGATAAAAAAGACGTGGATAAAGAAAGTACTACAATTGATATTTTTGTAAAAATATTTTTAAACGAAGCAAAATTTATTAAAACATTAAAAAAACAATGGGAAGGTTTAAAATGTGCCGCTTTGCTTTTTGTTGATCAAATAATAGATTTAAATAAAAAAGAAATTGAAGAAGGAAGAATATTATATTTAAATAGTCTTCATAAAATATTAAAATTAAAAATGTTGTATGAATCAACGGGTAATTTTAATGAGGACTTTAGTGATGCTCTTATACAACAGGCAGATAATAAAATAAAATTAATTGATGCAAAATTACAAAAAGAAAATTTAAAGAAGGAGCATACAGAAATGATTGAAATGTTGAGAAAAGAGAGGAAAGAATTTAATGATTTGATTAATAGTAATAATTTTGATAATAAATATTCCTTATATGTATTAAGGCTGAGGAAGATCCTCACAGAGTAGAAATAAAGTAAGAGCGAGGTAAAAGATTAATCCCGGGCAGGCTTCGATCCTGCGACCTCCTGGCAGTATTGTAGGCGCTTTCGATCACCACGTAAAGGTGCTCTTCCAACTGAGCTACCGGGACGATGCTTTCACCTTCTCTTTTAATAGCTCCTAAATCTATTAAAAGATTTAAGAATAGCCAGCTGGATCTTTCTCTTCCTTACATAAAGTAAGAATGAAAACGACCAGTGGCAGACTTGGAGTATGGATAGACAAACAGTTAATGAAGCTTTACGTTATTGCTAACAACGGAGAGCTTATAGGGTTAAGACCTATCCAAATATTTTCTGGGATTGTTTTAAGATATTTTATCAAAAATTAATCGGAAATTTTTTACAGCTTTTTCTTATTTTAGACAAAATAAGGCTAGGATTATTTCTAAGAAAATGTTCCAGAGATATTTGATAAGCTTGATGATTATTTCATAAAATTTACTAGCAATGCGGTAGATAAGACTGCAATATGACAGTGTTTGGTAGGAGATTGAAGGTATGATGCTTCAATTTAGTGTTGAAACAAAATCTTAGGGCATATTTAAAGTTGATTAGTTTTTTGTTGACAAAATCTATCCAAATATACTTAATTAATTTAAGATTTAAATTTAAATGGCAAAAAAAGATTGGAATCAAAAATTATTATTCAAATAAAGGTTTAATATTAAATTAAATAAAAAATAAATATATCTTAATTTAGAAAGGATATATTGAATGTCCGCCGAGAGATGTATTAAGAAAAATTGGTAGGTTAAGAAGAATTTTTTAATTTTATTTAGAAAAATGATAAAATAGTTGTTAGTAGAATTGTTCCTCATCACCGAAAGTCGAGGAATTTGAGACTTTTTTTGACATTTTGTTGGGAATCCTAGTCTGTGTCCTAGCATTCTATAAAGTTATTTATTGGTAAAAAATTAAATTATCAGAGATACTTTTTATAATCCTGATATTTATGTGATAGTTATGTGCCCATCTTTGATAGTTATTTAACCGCTTCATTATCATATAACTGAGGACAATTAAATTGAATTTAAAAAATTTTTCCTTTTAGATCATGAAAAAAATCACATTAAATATTTTATTATGGAGAATGATGAAATGACTTATGAATTAATTAAATTGACAATAAATGCAATAATTTGGAATTATTTAAATATATTAACTAAAGTTTTTAATTCTTTGGATGATTTAAAAGAATTGGAAATTTTGTCTAAAAATAAAGAAAAATTAATAGAAAATAAGGAAAGACTATGCCAACTTTATTTATTTATTTTTAAAAATAAAAATTATTTAATAGGAAATAATTTGGAGAATATTATTAATGAAGAACACAGCAAGGAAGGATGCTGTGAAGATAAAGAATGTCCAAATAATATTAGAAATATTATTAAGATGATTGAGGAACTTGTAAGTATTGTAGGTATAACAGGGATAGAGAGATGTATAACAGGGGGGAGAGTGTTAAAAACCGGAAGACAAAAGTGGGAAAAATTTAACCCCTAAATAAATTTTGTAAAACAAATTTCAAAGTACATATTGACCTAGGGAAATACGGTTATATCGGTTTCATTGTCAAAAATACACAGTAAAGATTTAGGTTTTCTGATTATAAATCAAGACCAAGTCGGATAGGTCTCTAGGTATATTATTAAGTTGAAAATCCTGTTCACTGACCAAGTAGTTCTTTTAAATTTTTAAAATTAAAAAACTCTCGTTTAATAGTAGGAAAAGATAAAACCAAGTTCTAAAACGAATAACTTGTTCCAAAGTAGATCACGAAAAACCATCTACTTAGGAAGAATTAAAATAATTACTTTTAAATTTAGACAAATACCATCGATGTAAACATAAATTGTAATGATATAAACTTAATGGAAATAATAAATGATAAAATAGGAAATAAATTGAATTTAAATGCAATTAAATTTGATTACCGTATTTACTGAAATAGTACGGCCCCCTTTATTAGAACGGCCCCCTCAAATAGTACGGCCCTTTCGATGAGGGTTGAAAAATAGTACGGCCCCCTCAATTAGTACGGCCCCCTTATTAGTACGGCCCCCATTTAAAAACCCCTAAATTAAATTTTGTTTATTTCCGTTTATTTTTCAATTTTTGATGTAGCGTTTGGCGTCATGTTTATGCTTATTTAAATAAGAATTAATTATCCTCACAATATTAAATTTCAAATTTCAAATTTATTCATAACTCCAAAGGGTATACAATATACCGCTAATATGGAGAAAAAATGTATACAAATATATGTAATGATTGAAATGTAAAAATAATGTTAAGAAATTAATTTTAAGTAGAAAAGAAGAATAATAAGGTAAGTATGATTTTTAGAAATAAATTAGGAACACAAAAGTTTAAATTGATTTAACTGGTGCTTAAAAAGAAAGTTGAAATAAGTATTCTTAAAAAATATATATTTTGGTTACAAAAAAAATACTAATAAAAAAAACGAAAAATAAATCATTTTTAAAAAATAAGCATAAAAAATAAAAATGGGGTCGAGTTGAGATAGGAATTTTGGTTTATAAATGTTTTGGGCGTGGTAGGTTTAGACAAAAAATTATTTTAGATGGTATGTATATTTATTTATAAGTAGTGTGAGAAAGTCAATACATAATTTCGGCAATTATTTAAATTTTTTAGTGTTGTTCTTAGGGTAGGTTAAATTGATATGTTGAGTTTTCCCAGGATTGGGGGTAGGCATATTTTTAAATTGTTTTTAAATTTGTTAATTGTATGGTCAATAAAAATTTCCTTAGGGAGTAAATTCCAAATGGTTGTTGTTCTGTTAATGAAAGAATTCGAAGTTTTATTATTTTTATGTGAAACTTGGATCATATAATTGTGTTTTCTAGTAGGCCTAGAATTTTGTATAAACATTTCGTTAGGGTTTAAGCTTGTTAGATTGAAGTATATTTTATACATTGTGACTAAGTCTATGTAATATCTTCTTATGAGAAGAGGTTCTAATTGGAATAATTTTAACCTGTCTTGATATTTGAATTTTTTGTTTCTACATTTTTTAAGGGCGACTCTTGTGTAAAATTTTTGTACTTTTTCTAAAGTATTAATCAAAACTTTTTGCTTAGGGTTCCATAAAGGTGATGCGTATTCGAGTATTGGAAGTACATAGGTTTTAAATAAATTGCCCCAAATTTTGGGATTATAAGTATGTATGATTCTTAGTAGTTGATGACACCTAAGGAATGCGTTTCTAGATATTGTTTTTATGTGTTTGTTAAATGATAGATTATTATCTACTAGTATGCCTAGGTCTCTTATTATACTCATTTCTTGTAAGTGGTGATCTTCTAGCTTATATGATTTTTTTGGATTTTTACTTCCTATATAAAGTGTGAAGGATTTATTTAGAGCTATGTTTAGTCCCCAACCTTTCGCCCATTCAGTTAAAATATTTAGTTTTTCTTGCAAAAGGCTATCGTTTGTTTTATATGAATATGTTATTTTTAAATCATCAGCATATAGTGATGGAGATATATTAGGCCCTAGTCTTGTAGGTAGGTCGTTTATGTATATAGTAAAAAGTAAAGGAGCTAAAATGGTACCTTGTGGGACACCTGAATGGGTAGTGAATGTTTTTGATTTTTCATCCTTAATTCCCACAGAGAATGTTCTATTTTGTAAAAAATTTGTAATCCATTTGTGTATTTTTCCCCTAATTCCATACGTATATAATTTTTCTAGTAAATAGTTTATTGGAACCTTATCGAAGGCCTTTTGGAAGTCGACATAAATTATATCTATATTTTGGTTGTTTATTAATCCCTCATACCATTTTGTAAGTGTAAGAATCATTTGTGTGGTAGTGGACCGTTTGGGGAGAAACCCAAATTGATGTTTTGAGATTAGATCATTTTCCAATAAAAATTTTAGTATTTCTGATGCTAGTATTTTTTCAAAGACCCTACATGTTGTGGAGGTTAGTGAGATAGGGCGATAGTTTTGAATACATGCTCTGTTGCCATTTTTATAAATAGGTATTATTATTGAATTTTTCCATTTGTCAGGTATGTCCCCAGAGTCTAGTGAGTTACGGAATAGTTCGCAAAGTGTGGGTGCCAGGATGTCGTGACAGTTTTTTAGAATCTTATAAGATATGTCATTTTGAGTTGTAGAGTTTTTATTAGGGAGGTTTTTAAGTGTATTTGCCACTGTTATTATGTCAAAGTCTATGTCTTCTAGTGTATTTTTTATATTTAATGTGAATTCTGGTTTTTTATTGTTAGTCCCAAAATTATTAATGAAAATTTCTGAAAAATAATTTCCGAATATTTCACATTTTTCATTATCGTCAAAAATGTATTTATTATTATATAATAGTACTGGGATATTTTGTTTCGATTTTATTGAGTTTTTAATGAAGTTATTAATCATTGATTTGTTGTTTGAAATTTTGGAGATTTTGGAATTTAGGAAGTTATTAATCAGATACTTTGTTTTGTTACAGATTTTATTGTATTCATTTTTCAACTCATTATTGGCTTTATATAGGGTAAAGAGTTTGTATTTTTCCCTAATGGCTTTTCTTATGTAGCGTGGGTATTTCTGCCCAGTGTTTTCTTTGAATGTTATCAGTGGAATATTTTGGTCAATGATTGTTTGTATTAAGTTAAAGATGTTCTCGAATCTAGTGTTAACATTATTTTTAATGTATGGTATTGATTCCATGAACCCAAAATTATAGGCTAATAATGGTTTAATTTTATTTATATTATCCAATGTTAGATTTTTGTATCTTGAAATTACCGTACGTTCTTTACTAGTATTGATATAAAATTTTATCGAGAAATGGTCAGAATTTGAAAAGCTAGGTTCTATGGAGACGTTATTGATTAGATTATTTTGGTTTGTAATAACTAAATCTAGAATGGAACCAGAAATATGGGTAGGTTTTGTAATAAGTTGTTTGAATCCAAAATTCAGAAGAAACTCTACAAACATTCGATCATTTGCTAATGGGGATATATATTCTGTCCAATTAATTTTTGGCTTGTTTATGTCCCCGCAGATGATTGTTGTGGGGGTATAGAATTTAGTAAGTGATTTAATTAGTTTAGTATTAGAAGATTTTTTAAGGTTAGGTGGAAAATAGACACATATTAAACGGATATTTTCATAATTTTTTTTGATGATATCTAGTATGACCATTTCGTAACCAAATTCATTTTCTTTATGAATTTCTACCGTTTTAATAGAATTTTTTACCAACACTAGGACTCCCCCGCCTCTTTTTTTTTCTTTAGTAAGGCGGTTAGACATGAAAACTGAGAAATTGTTATTAAAGCTTAATTCATTGGGTGCAATATTATTGTCTATGATCCAGGTTTCACAAATAAAAATAACTTCGAAATTATGTAAAAAGATAAAATTTTTTAGTTCATTAATTTTTTTGATAATTGATCGGCTGTTAAAGAAAATCGATTTTATGGTTTTTTCCTTATTATGTATTGACGCATCTCGATTATTAATACTTTGATTTAATGGTGTAGAGATTTTTGTACAGGGAATGACTTTATTATTTTTTATATTAGTATTAAATTTATGGCTTCCCTGTACAATATTGTGAGACCCCGCATTATCCTATGAGAGAGACTTACGAAGTTCATTAACTTTTTCACGAAGAACAATAGTATTTGCGTATATTATCCAATCACCTTTATCAGTTAACCTTCTTTGTTTGCATTCTTCTTGTAATAATTTGCGTGCTTTTAGTTGTTCCGGTGACATTGATTCACGAATGTTTAAATTACGGTATGATGGGATTCCCTTGAGTTTTTTACGTTGTTCAGACCATGAGCGGAGTGTAGCCTTCTGAAAAAATGTGGCCGGAAAAAGAACTTTAACTAAAGGTGGAGCACCTGTCCGAGTTGGGTTGTCCTTGCCCAACCGGTAAACGGCTAAGGGACAAATCTCGACCCCCAACTGATCGAGAATACATGTAACATTGTTTTTATCTTCATTTGCCCGAGCAGAAGGAAGCGGATTCGTTGACCGTGGGAGCCCAGAAATAACAATTGATCGTTGCCTTTCCTTTTCGGAAAAATTGTCGATATTTTGACTTGGAAGTTGTTGCTGTTGTGACATATCAGAAATTATGCTAGCTGCAGTTTTAAGAAGATTTCCTAGTTGAGAAATTATTGTACGAGCAACGGGGGAAATTGAAGTATCTCCCTCAAGAGAATCAAAATTTAATTCAGAGATTTGGTCTAGGAATTGCTGTCGTTTTGCAGGAAGTTGCGGGGATGTTGTCAATGGACGTTTGGTAGCTTTATTTGAAGAGTCCATGATAAGAAATTAATTTTAAGTAGAAAAGAAGAATAATAAGCTAAGTATGATTTTTAGAAATAAATTAGGAACACAAAAGTTTAAATTGATTTAACTGGTGCTTAAACTTTTAGTAGTATAGTAGTGATGGTCGGGAGTTAAAAAAAGCCGAGAGTCGTGAGTTAAATCCATTTTTCTTATTAAACTATTAAGACAACTGTGGGCTCCCTTACAAAGGATAGATACGCTAAAGGATAGATACGGCTAAAAGCGATCAAAGGAATCCCCAAGTCGCTTGAATCCCCAGGTCCACAATATATATTCACTGATATTCACATTAATCTCTTAAAATCCCCTCATATCCCTCAATATCACTACAAATCCAACCATATCTTCTTGATCACTCGATGCCACGCAAAGTTTTTTGATATTAAATTTAATCTAGGGTTGTTCACGGTCGGTTAACCGAACCGAAACCGGAACCGAAAACCGGTGTTTTTGGCCAATAAACCGAAACCGAAAACCGGGGGTCAAAAACCGGCGAAAACCGAAAACCGGTGGCCTAAACCGACCGGTTTTTCGGTTTATAAAATACACCCCTAAAGATGGAATTTTTTGAATTTTTCGGACATTTGAATTCGCAAAAGACATCTTGCCAAAATATTTTTTACACTTTTGTTTTCGATAAATATGTATAATTTCTTTAATTTTATATCAGAGATGTATGTATGGTTGATTGGTTAAGTTGATGGGCCTCCCTCAATTTGCTTTTGTCTTACTATTATTGTTTGGTTCGAATCCAAGAATGAGTAGTAGAGACGTCCGAGACTCTTGGTCTCGAGTCTTGATTCCAAGACTTCTTGATTTTTTTAGTGTTGGTCTTAGGGTGTAATCTTGGTCTTGGTCTCGACTTGTTTGAGCTTTTTTAAATTTACACCCCTAAGAATTGAATTTTTTGGATTTTTTTATTTTATTTCCAAAATGGAAGAAATCTGGCCACTTGGCCTTCCAAAATTCACAAAATTTTCGCCTGCGGCGCTAGAAAGGGAAGAATTCTGGCTCTTGCCTTACAAAATTCTCAAAATTTTCGCCCGCGGCGCAAAAAAAGATGGCATAATCCATAAATCCCGCTCATTCCCTTGATATCCTTCTTAATCCCCTGATATCACTCGATATCTCCCTTAGTCTACCTAGATGCGGCGCAAAAGATGGCACAATCCACAATATTATCCATTGATTTTCGCCCGTGCACTTAGCCAATATGGAGTGGCTTCATGAATCGCGGGCTCTAGAGCTGGAGCCGGAACTAACAAATGTATTATTGCCAGCATTTATATGGCTTTATGGCCTTCTAAAATCTTCAAAATTTTCACTTTCCGCTCTAAATAAATAATTTTCAGTGCCCCATTTGTAGAATATTTAATTGAAGCATTTTAATTGATTAAAATAAGAACTGGATATTTTGGATGAAAAATTCAGGCATAAACCGGTTTCGGTTAACCGAAAACCGGGGGTCAGTCAAAAACCGAAACCGAAAACCGGGGGTCGTAAACCGGTCAAAACCGTAAACCGGGGGTACCGGTTAATAACCGGTAGTGAACAACCCTAATTTAATCCTTTAGAATCCCCAGTATCCCTGTTAATCCTTTTTAATCTTATTAAATTATTATTTTTTCCGCTGTGTATAATGGGTCCGAATTTTGAGTCCACATGTGGATATAGAAGGATTAGAAGTTAAGTTATTTGAAGGCTAACAGGCATATAAAGGGATTTGAAAGATATCTAAGGAGTTTGAAAAATTAAAAAGGATTTAGGAGGAATTGTATGCGTACCTGAGGATTTATGAGATCAAGGGAGATAACGTTGGATTTGTGAGGACCAGGGTAGATATCGGGGGATTAAAAAGGATTTCGTTGGTGTATAATAAAAAACAAAGAAATATTCAATATACACAGACATAGTTTAGGATGGCACAACCAAAAAATTATTCAGAAAATTCCGAAGGAGGGTTGAAATATAGTACGGCCCCCTCAATTAGAACGGCCCCCTCATATAGTACGGCCCTTTGGAAGAGGGTTGAAAAATAGTACGGCCGGCCGTACTATTTCAGTAAATACGGTATATTAATTCATTAATTATTAATGATGAAGATTTTCGGCGATTCTTTTGTGACGCCTCAATTGTTGAAATGTTTGATATTAAATCAAAAATTATTTATTTTACTGGAATTGATTATCTTGAAAAATTGGAGTTGTTACATCCAGACGTTCTTAAAATTCGTAAGCATATTTAAATTTTTAATGATTAGCAAGAGGTTTAGTTGAGTTTTGTTTTAAATTTAAAAGGTTTAAATCTGGGTTTTAAATGTCGGCTTGAATTAGAAATTAGAATTGAAAGTTATCAATATGCATAAAAACTTTACTCTAAAACAATAAAATCTTTATCACAGACTTTATCTTATATGTAGTTTAACAGGGATACTTTCTCTTATAGACTTTCTATTATAGTTTAATAGGGATATATAGCAGGGATCATGCCGCAACAGGATATTGCCGTATTAGGATTTTATCGAGAATACTCGATTCAAGAAATCGATTATATATTTCTAGGTCAGCACGATACGTGCTATCAGAAGTCAGCCGTAATTCCGATTTCCGACAGTTTCAATCACTTTGTTATTAACAACCGACCCCTGCCAATTATATAGTAATTTCGACATGTATATTACATATTTCTTTTTAATTGTAAGAAAGTACCGTTCAACTGACTATTAATAAATATTTAATTTTTAGATTTCATTCATCCCGAGGTCCAATATTATTTGTATAAAATTATAGCTGAAAACAAAAAAGAATCATTAGAATCAATTAATGCAGAGATTCGTATAGCTTCAACTTTCATTCTTCGATACATAAAAAATTACGAAAACGAAGAGCAAGGATATTTGGATAAACGCTCGAATATATTAATACAAAAATTTAATTGGCTAAAACAAATACTTTTTAGTAATAAATCTTCAAAATTAATATCTAAATTAGGTATTTGTTTAATGATAAATTTTACTGAGAAAGGATTTCCAAAAGAAGAAAATAAAAAAATAATAAATAACAAATTAATTGAAAATTGGGAAGGAAAGGAATGTGAAGATGAAAATGAAATTGAAGATAAATTTTTTAAACAAAGAAAGGATTTACAAAATTTTAATTTAGTCTATCTACAAAATTTCCCAGAAAGAATGAAAGATATTACAGGAGTGCCTGGGATAAAAAGTAAATTGGAATATTTATTTCCAGATATTTTATTGAATCCTTTATTTGAAGATGAAAATTGTAGGTTTTTTTAAAATTATTCAAAAAATAGTAAATAGGAAAGTAATAAGAAAAGTAATAGCTTTATAATCATCAATTTTGTGTAATTTTTAAATTACCCCATCACGAGATCTCGAGGTCAAATCAACGGAAAATTGAGGCAATTTTTAGGTGGCTTGTTTCAAAAAATAATTTCGGCCCATTTGGGTGAGATAAATAAGAGATGATAAGAAGGCAGAGCTAATTAAGTATTGGGTAAAATGAGCAGTTTTTGAACATATCGACTAATTCACAATGGTTAATCGAAACAACCATAATTAGTGATGCGAGGATTCCAGTTTCAGAACTGGAATCGGTTTTGAACCGGTTCCATAACTGGAACCACCAAAATTTTGGAACTTCCGCGCCACTGGCCATTTATGGTAAAAGGTAAAGAATCACCCTAACTAATAATCTAGCGAAATTTTGGAATCTTAGATAAATTTTATTTTAATTTTATTTTTTAATACAAATATATGTACATATGATAATATTTCGTTAAAAAATAATTTTTAGTATTTTCTCGCGATGATCTACTAGTAGGAAATTATTTGGAATATATTTCAACTAAAGATAATTCAATAGAAAGTATAGCTAATAAATCAGCAAGTAATTTAATTGTTTGGGCGCGTTGGATGGAAAATGAATTAAAAATAAAAAGTAGAGAGTCAATTAGAATTTACAGATTATTCGAAATTTGGAAGGAAAGAAAAATTTATTTGAAATCAAAATATGACAAAATTTTGGATTTTGAATTAAAAAGAATTGAAGAAATTAAGAAAGAAGAAAATTATTTAGTTGAAATGGAATTTGGATTGAAGAAATTGGTAGAAGATGAAATGGAAAGTGAAGAAAATTTTTTTGATATTGGTAATCTAATAAAACAAAAATGGATAAAAATTGAAGAAAATGGAGGAGGAGGGAAGTTTAATGAAGAAGAAAAAATAAAATTTAATGAATGGATTAAAGGACAGAATTGGGAAATTATTAAAATAATAATTAGAAATAATGAAATTTTTAAAAAACAAATAAATATTGGAGGAAAAGGGTACTTGATTGAAATGAACTTTTTGTCAATTTTGTTATCAAGTAAAAATTATTTTTAATTTGATTATCTCTCTGGTTAGGATGAGGGATGGGGAGAGGGTAAGGGATGGGTGAGATGTGTTAAGAAAAAAAGTCAGATCGAGTTTTCAAAGATATCTAAGGACGACTTTCGGATAACTCTCACATCTTCGGTGGAGGTTCAAGGTGCACAACATTAGGATAAACAACAAATAGTTGATATTACCATCAATGGGCCATATGTATATCCGTAAGAAGTGGAAAATATACAAGTGATTGAATATCTTACATAGGGATGTTGGTTCGGAATCGAACCGAAGAACCGATGATTTTTTGGTATTATTCCTGATAACCGAAGACTTTCCAAACCCGAAAACCAACTTAAAATATAAAACAGCTTAGTCAATTAAAATAAATAAAAAAAATTTTTTTCAAAGATTTGCAAGAAGAGTATGAAATTAGATTAAAATTTGTTGATTTAATAGGGATAAAAGGAGTTAAAGAATTTTATGAATTATCTAAAATAAAGTTTAATCCAAAGGATTTTGGATTAGAAGATGAGGAAATTATGAAAATTGAAGAAGTGAAGAAAAAAGATGAAGAAGTTGATAAAAAGGAGGAAGAAGAAGGGAAGGAATTAATAAAAGGTAAAACAAAAATGTTAGAGAAATCAAAAAAATTATCAGTTTATGAAGAAAAAAATAAAAAAGGAAAAAATTTAAAAAATAAAAACAAGAAGAGTGAACATGATCGGGAAGAAAATCGAGAAGATAAGGAAGATAAAAATGAAGAAAAGGAAGAAAATGAAGAAGAAAGTGAAGAAAATCGAGAAAAGGAAGAAGAGGAAGAAGAGGAGCATCAAACAAAAAATATCCAAGAAGGGGAACCTCTTGAAGAAACAAAAATAATTGATAAATATGGCAAAAGACCAATGGAAGAATTAGAAAAAGAGGAAGAAAATAAGCAAGAAAATACTGACATACCTTCCTCCAATCCTTCTTCTTCCTCCCCTCCTTCAAAAATAATTTTGCCAATTTATTTTTTAAAAAATGATTATTTAAATGATTTTTATAAAGAATTAAAAAATCAAAATGAGGAAAATAATTGTTTATTAAATGTTGGCATTTTAATTAATGAAATTGGACGGAAAATGAGACCAATAAAAAAATATAAAAAAATTAAAGGATGGCCAAATTATAAATTAATTAATTATTTAAAAAATAAATGGGAATTTATGCTGAATGGAGTATTTTTGAAGGAAATAAATAATTGTGAGAAGTTAAAAAATAAACTGGAATTATTTTTAAAAGAATTAATTGAATGGGAAAATGATAGAATTGAAAATAATTCTGTAAGGTTTTTTAATAAAATTAATTTTGAGAAATGTAGAGAATTTAAATAAAATTGTTTTAAAAAATTTAATACAAAAATTTTGTCGAAGTTGTGTATTTTAGTATGCCGAAAAACAGCAGAGAATCCGGCTGAAGGGATATGTCGATCCGAAGAGAAATTTTTGAAAACCAGATCATAAACGATCAAAATTTTTTCTCAACCCGGAATATCCTTGTCTGTGTGAAGTCGAAAGAATGGACAGCACTAGTGTTTTGCCGGAAGTTCCAGTTCCGGTTTCGACCCGTAACCAAAGAATTAGTTCCGGTTCCGGATCAGGTCAAAAATTTCAGTTTCGGTTCCTGATCCGGCCAAATTTGCGGTTCCGGCAAAACACTAACAGCATTCTTATTGACAAAATTTATTAAATAATTTTTGAAAAATATTTTTTAAATTTATTTAGCTCCAATTAATTCTCGAAAAAAATGAAATAACAAAAGAAAAAAATAATTTAAATAAATCAGCAATTTCGGAGGTCAAACTAATGCTCAGTAACTGGGTAAATTTATTTTTAAATTATTTTGATTATAAATATTTAAAAATATATATGTACATAAGCAGTATTTTTCCCAATCAAACTGGGGGGGGGGGGGGGAACGCAGGTGAACAACGCACCTGCGTTGTTCAAACATTTTGTTGGTGTGCTTAATTGTTATTGTCCTTCTATTAAATGTTTTTCCTTCCATTTCTGGAAGGATGATGTTTCCTTAGTCCTTAGTTTTTTGACATTGACATATGTACAAACATGGGACTAACTATCCACTCAAGCCCACTCAAATAACATACTGCAAGTAAGAAAAAAGATACACCTTTCTATTATTTAAAACGCTTACTATGTGAGGGTTTAAAATCTAGTAAAAGATAAGGAAATTATCTTTATTAAAATTAGAATATCCTTATTAATTATATCCACTCAAAACTCAACTATCACACTAAAATTCTCCTTATTAATTATCCTTATTAAAAGATAAGGCAAACGCTGATAGTTTAGTTGGCAGATTTCTAATTTCCAATAAAAGTTTTTTTATTTACAGGGTGACCAGAATGTTATGATCTCGGTATCTTTAATATGAAAAAAGTTATGATGGAATGAAGGGTGTGCAGTAACATTCTGGTCACCCTGTAGTTACCCAAGGATGATGTTTCCTTAGTCCCATACGAACAAGCGTCTCTTTTCATTACTCGAAATATTTTTTTTTAATTTTTAGAATGAAAAATCCAAATTGCTAATTTCTGGTTCTTACCTCTTAAAAGCAAATACACCTGATTCTGATTTTGATTGTTTAGTTGTTGTGCCAAATAATGGAAACATTAATAATTATTTTTATGGAAATTCTGAATGTAATTTAAAAGAAAAAAATTGTTTTGATAGATCTCTTTTTTGTATTTTTTGTTTGGTATTTTTTGGATTTTTTAAACGAAATTTTTTTCAATTTTAAAGCATTCGAAAACCAATTCTATTGCAAAAATTTCTGGAAGAGTTCCTTTAATTAAAATAAATTTTATGGAAGCAGAATTTGATTTATTACTTGTTTCCCTCCCAAAAAACAGTTTTAATAAATTATTTGCCTTAAATGAACCTAAAATTGAAAAGGTTGATGAGGCTATAGCTACATATATTTTGGAAAGGATTGGGGGAATTGAAGCCAAAAATAATGGGCAATTATGGCCTTTATCTGGTTTTTAATTTTTAATTATTTTTAATTTTTATTTTAAAAAGGATATCGTGCAAATTTACGTTTATATGAATTGACAGTTAATAGTAGGAAAACATATACAATGTTGCTCCAAACAATTAAATATTGGACTAAAAGTAATTTGTTTTTTAGTAAAGTCAAAGTCAGTGTAGCAGCACCCCGTCCCCCGATCCTTTACGCCCACCCCTGTGCGAGCAAAATGTGCGGGCAAATGGCAAAAACAACGACCCGAACCCCGAAGGCTCTACCCCGGCAAAACCCGAAACTCGACACTCCCGCCCTCGAAGGCTTGGATTGCTACTTTATTTTTATCTAATAATTTAGTTAAAGTTACTAGTTAAAAAGAATAGTCGGATTTCGATTTGGATTTTTAAATTCTATTCAGTTCGGGTTCTGAGTCAAAAGATTTTATAAAATGTCGAGAATTACGTTAGAGCAGGGTCACTTGTTTAATGAACACTGTGATATCCTCCTTAATTTTACAGATCCTATGATATCCCCAATCTAGTGTGTTAAGGACGATATTGACGATTTGTTAGGCAAGGATTAAAGGGATTTATAGAAATTCTTTTAATTCAATTATCTATTGAAATTATTCTAAATTTTCTTCGATTTTTAGATCATTATATCTATGGAAGTAAATTTGGTTTTTTAAATGGATCTGCAATAGCAATATTAACTTGTAAAATAATTCTTGATTTTCCTTCAAATCCTGTTCCATTTTTGTTAAAGAAATTCTTTGATATTTATTCAAAATGGTTTAAATTAATTTAAAATTTTTTAAAAAATATTTTATTTAAAAAGGGAGTGGCCAAAGCCTGTAGAAATTATTGAATTGCCAAATAAAAAATATAACGAAATTAAATTGGTTTTGGATTGGTTCGGAACAAAAGAAGTTTATCATCGTTACTTGAATCAATTTCATGTTGATTTATATCCTGGGTTATTAGAACATTCTAAATTACAATGGGTGGTTTTAAATCCTGGATTTCCAACACAAAATACGACTTTTAATGTTAACAAATCTACAGCAAAAATATTAAACTTGGAATTTTTAGAAGGTAAATTGATTATGTAGTTAAACTCCCTCCATTTTCACTCATATCGTATAACAGGGTGATAAATATTTTTGATTGAATAATCGAAAATAGCCTTGAAATCTAGATTCTAAAGGATGCCTTAATTTAAATGAAAAACAAAGGCATTATATGTACCAGGGATTGCGTCAACAGAGACCAGGGATTGCGTCGGGAATTCACGATTTTTGGGAATCGTTAATCGAGTCGGCACGATCCCTGATATGTACAAGCAAATTTATCTATTGACTCTAGATTATGGTTTAAATATAAAAATATGTGTATTTGAGAGCTATACTTATGCATTAATCAGATTTTACTAAAAATTAAAATAATTATAAATTATTTTTAAATTAAATATAGCGGCAGAAAAATTAATTGAACTCGAAACTATATATACGAAAATGTCTCCATCAATGGCCAAAACTTTTTGGGAAAATTGGTTAAATGGAAAAGATTTTACAAAAAAGGTCGAGAATTTTCGTTACATTCTTTCAAAAATTTCCCAGGCTTGGCTAGATTTTCTAGTTTAAAGCAAGTGTATTATCGGTTTTAAAAAACTAGGAAAAATAATCATATAGTCAAGTAAAATTAATATCTCTAAGAGAAACTTAAGAGATATGAGTGGAGGGGAGAAGGATACGGGGGGGGGGTGGTTGTTGATTTTTATTTAGAAACATGTGAATGAAGGGGAAAAGGATACAGGAAGAGAAGGGGGGGGAGGCGGGGTGGTTAATTATTTATTAATTTATTTTTTATTATTTAATTTAAATTATTCTTTTAGTACAAGCATTATTTATCAATTAATTGTATGTTTAAACCAGAAAATCAAACAGTTGGCCAATCATTTTGTGATTTTGTAGAAACTCGAATTCGTCTCCAACTTTTATTTTCAATTGAAAATATTGAAGAAATTAAATATTGTCATGCAAATCCAATAAAAATAAAAAATAAATGTTTAAATAAAAATGATTTTTATTTTGGTTGGAATTGTATAAAATGGTTGATTGGAATAAAAGAAAAAGAAAAAAATATTTTAAATTTAATATTTAAATCAGAAAATGGCCAAAATCGTTTAAATGAATTTATGCAAAAAATTGAACTTGAATTTTATAAAAAAATGCCTATTATTTCACAAAATGAAACAGAAGGAATACGTTTATATGTTGAATATTTTGAACCAAAAAATTAAGAAAAATTTTGATTTATTTTAAGTTAGGAGTAATTTTGAACCAAAATTATTTTAATATTTTGATTATAACCAGATTTTTGATGTTTATAATTTTTTAAATTTTTTTGTCCCCTCCTTCAAATCGTTCTTATAAACTATATTTTAAATATAAATTTTTTTATTTAAAAAATTTGCATAAAAATGTTCTTTAATTTAAAATAATTTTTTAGGTTTTCTTGAATCCTTTCTAGGTCTTAAAGTTAGTTAGGGTTTCAGGTTGGGAAGGGAGGATTGTGCCGATAGGACCCTATTTAGTAATTATCCCTCCGTTTTAGACTCATACTCCGGAGGTTCTATTTATGTCAGGGAATGGACCTATGAAGCCGAAGAATTGAGAGGGGAGAGAGGACGGTGCCGCCGCCCAGGACGACGATAGGGTTAGCGAAAGAGGTGCGAATTTTCCGAGGTGCCTACTCCCTCGGTATGTATTTTTTATATCCCTCCTCGGGTTTAAAGTCAAAAAATACCCCAGATTTGGATGTAAATAAGCTGATATTTTTCCTTTGCTGAAAATAAACTTGGATTCAAATTTATAAAATATAAACAACAACCGCAATTTATTCAGAAATATTAATAAAGAAAAACTACATAAGCAACAGATTTTGCACTAATAAGAAAAAATTATGAATAAAATTTTATAAGCGGTGTTGATATTCTAAACTACGGGGAGGGGAGAGGGAGCGAGCACAATGGGCATCAAGCAAATCCCTCTTAATTTTTGGGTAAAGCCTTCTTTCCTTTCCATTCATTACTTTGAACTGCATCCACATGATCCAGAAAAAGTTCCAACTATTATTGTTTGTGAAGCTGTTTGTGGAGGAGGAAAAACTGTCCAAAGAAATGTGTTCATAAACAATGCTCTCGGTTGTGTTTGTCCGTTGCTTGTGAAGCAATTTTTAATATAAGTAAAGCTACATTGATAAGCAGAGACACAGTCATTAGGATATAATTTGTATATACAATTCAAAATTGCGTTTCTGTAGCTGTTAAGTGACATAATCTGCACTGATGTGAGAAGAGGTTTCAAGTCTAAATCTATGGCTTGCATCACTTCTGTGTTGTTATTTTTGTCAGGTTTGAAACAATGGGCATAATCTTGAGGAACAGTTTGATTGTAAACAGTAACGTTGTTATTGGTGCACTGAAAAATTTAAAAGTGAATAGAATAACAACTTAGTAACTAACAATGTGCGAAGTGCCAATAATTTGCGAGTATGGGCACTGAAACCCGTTTCCAATAATTGTCGTTAGGTAACATAACGTATGTGCCAACGAACTCAAATATGAGAACTGTGCCGATAAAAATTTCAAGCGTTTAAAAGGGTCATTTTCAATTTTGAAGTAGCTGTAGCATGTTGAAACGTAGTTGTTAGCTTCGGCAATTGTTGAGGAGTTATAATTCTGAGCAGTGGCATTGGAATTGATGGAGTTGTTGAGTGATTTCAACGTAGGATTGCTATCAGCATCTCCGCTCAACATGGCATTTCCAATTGATGAGAGTGTTGTATACTATTTAGTGGTGAATCTTTTGTTTATATTTATATCAAAAATACCGGATCACAGAGGAAAAGAAAGTCCTCAACTGTTAAATCTATTCCAACCAAGTTAAGTTTTGCTTGCAATATATTTAGATAGACGCAGTAAGGTGCAGCATTAGCGCAGTATTGGCGAAGAACCACAGCGTGATATGCAATTTTTCGTTCCATTGGCCAGTCATCATCGTTTTTAATGCAAACCCTTTTAAACCATTTTGTCCATGTAAGAACGATTGCGGTTGTTCCATTGCCACATTTGTCATTAGCTGTTGCATTTTCCATAGCAGCAGTTAGCGGGGTATTGCCAATATTATCTACTGGAGTTATTGCTAATTTCATATTATCTGAACAGAAGCTGAATCCTGCAATAATAAACTCGAAGACCCTTCCCCATTTATCAATTGTTTCGCAAGTAACTAATGGTTCAATGTCAGTGTTGTTTGCGAAGCATTTTTTTAAATGAAGAACAGATCTAATAACCTTTACTGATAAAGTCAAAGTCACATCAGCAAGGTCAATCTCTATCTGCTTTATACAGACCTCGAAACGGTTCTTTAATTCAAAAAATATTTTAATTTAAAATAATATTTATATTACTTGCTGGTCAAGGTTCAAACGCAAAAATTTAATTCTTCTTAACTCTGTAACTAAGAGGCATGGGCAAGATCCCGATGTTGAGCCAGAAGTAGCTAATGAGTTTGTTGATTGAGTCGCAGAACTTATTGTGACATTCGCAGGAGCTTGACTTCCAGAGGTTACATTTGAGGTTGCTCCACTAGAACCCGTAGCCAGACTTGCCGCAGTGGATGTAGATGGGGCAGCCGTTGAAGTTGTTGGGGCATTCCCTGGCGTGGTTGTAGCATAACAGTCACATAATGGCCCAATGTTACATTCACGATGAGCTTGGCTATTTGAGTTACTTTCCGAATTTCGTGTATTAGTTAAAGGTGCAGGACAATTAGTTGACATAACAATGCCAAGGCACATCCCAAAAGCCAGAATATTTCCGAGCAGAAATTTGGACCCCATATTGGAGCAGTTTAATATAACTGAAGGAATTTGGAAGAGAAGTTGAAGTATTTCTAAAGGAGGTTTTTGTTCGGCTACGAGGTCGAAACTGGTTTGTTGAGTATTTTGACTGACTTTTATAGTCAGTATCTTTCTGGTTGTTCATATTAATTTCATGGAGATTAGAATTGAAGGGATTTGAATTTTATCTTAACTTTGTTTACAAAATTCGTAAAATTAATTTTAAATAATGTTTTGATAGACGGTTTTATTTTTCAAATTTATCTTAAATTTACCGTACAGCACTTTTATTTCAATTGTCACACGTTTAAAATTTATTTTAATTTTCATTTTTTTGAAAACTATCACGATGGATACTAAGAGATTTGAATTTTATTTTTAATTTGTTATTGAAACATTCGAAGCGCCAGTTTTACTTTATGTTTAAATAACGATTTGAATAATTTTTGATAGACATGTTTACTTTTTTGAGAATTAATATTCATAAATAATCGCAACACTTAAATTTTCGTACAACTCTTGACATTTAAAATTAATCTTATTTTCATCAGAGAATTTCTAATAGTCTTATCTCACTCGAGATAAAGTACAATACAAATACGTTTTTTTGGTTTTTAATTTGTTAATCACTGGAAGGAGAATTATCAGAGGAGATACTGTACGAACAATTCTCCTTGCACGAATAATTCCCTCTCTTGATTAATTCTCCATGCTAGAGTTGGATTGAAACAATAATTCCCCACCTCTAAATACTAGGGTTGCACCCCGAACGCTCGGGGGCGGGTATGTCGGGGTACGGGGTTTTCGAATTGTTTCGGGGCGGGGTACGGGTCGGGGGACCAAAATATGGTCGGGGTTCGGGTCGGGGTACGGGGTTTTTGTAAAAAAATTTTTAGAGAAAAAAATGTTAAAAAATAATTAGTTTTGGTCTATTTTCGTTAATTTTTTCAAAAATAAAGTGTGATTTTGAGACTTTAAATTGGATTTGAAGGGATTAAAGAGTTTATCTAGGGATATAAGCGGATCTGAAGGGATTAAGTGGGATTTTAGGGATTAAATGGTATATCTAGGGATGCAAGAGGATCTGGAGTGATCTTTGTTGGTCTCAAGGGATATCATTGATTTAGAAGGATATAGAAGTATTACGGATCTTTTATTAGTTTTTAATCTGGGGAGATAATTATCTGGGATAATAAATAAATTTGGGCGGATTATGGAAGATTTATAGAGATTAACTGACATATCTGCTGATATAAGGGTTTCGAAGGATTAAGAGTGGTTCAAGGGATAGAATCTTCCTTTTTTAGAGCCACAGACGAAAATTTTAGAATTTTTAGACTTAACTAAAAATTTATGGTTGATAATATTTAAAAATGGAATTAAACTTTTAAAATTAAAATTTAACGCTTGTTTTTGTAAAGAAAAATAACAAAACAAACGGGTTCTCCTTATTTGGATCCGAACCCTACCCTATATGAATGGAAATATAGACAAAACCAACAACTAAACCACTCAACCACAAGTCGGTTAGTTAATATGGAAATACAATATTGATATTTCATTCAATTTTCTTACAAAAATAATAAAGGCAAAGCAAATTGGGAGGAAGTTTCTAAAATTTTTCTCTTTAAATTCTCCTTAAAAATGGCGTTTTTAGGGGTGTATACCCCGAAAACCCCGAAACTTTTTCGGGTCGGGGGACGGGGTTTTCATTTTTTTCGGGGCGGGGTTCGGGTCGGGGAAATTTTGGAAAAATCTTTCGGGAACGGGGGTCGGGGTTCGGGGTACGGGGTCGGGGTGCAACTCTACTAAATACCCTACTGCACGTTCAAATGCCAAAACGCGAATTTTTTTTCTAATAATTTTTCTAATTTTTTTATAACCATATTTAGTGTTTATTTCAAAATTTATATGTCGGCGGTAAATTTCAATTTTAGGAAAATTTCAATTTTTCCGGAAAATTTCAAATTTTCCGGAAAAATTTAAATTTTCCGACGATTTAGGAAAATTTCAGTTATTAAATTAATTTAATAGTCTCTCTAACACTATTTCGTTTGTTTTGCGTTTTTTGAGTATGTTTTTCTTTTTTGTTTTTCTTTTGTTTTTTGTTTTGTTTTTTGGTTTGTTTGACTTTTTTTTTAATATTTTCGTTTATTTTTTTAATTTTGTTTTTTAGTTGTTTTTTTTTATTTTTGTGCTACTACTGAAAGGATAGGTTGGCATTCAATGCTGAAAATCGTGCAAAGGAATAGGTTTATGGTACATACTAGTGTAGAACCCAGCGACCGTTGACTCACGCGAGACGCGTGCCGCAAAACCCCGCGCGAAGCGCGGGGTTTTGCACAAGCGTCTCGCCGACTCCCCATAGGTTTACGTTGTTTGTTTTCGTGTCGTAAC